TAGAAACAGTGCCGGCTGCATTGTCACAGTTTTGCCTGCCTTTCACCGCCGCTTTTTATACTCATCTTGTAGCCTAATGGACACTTTTCAGGTTCTATCCTCTCCCTGTCCCTAAAGCGGAAGCCGATCGAGAAAGCGGTTTAAAACTGACGCCTTTATCTTGTTTGGTTGCCGAGGAAATTATTGCGTGAACTTGGAAAAATGCCTTTGGAGCAGATCTTTTTAGATTCGGTCTGGAAGTTGATGTGAGTATTTGAGCTGAAATTTATCACCCACTGCTGACTAATCGCATGATATTTATTAACTCTGCCAATAGGCAGTGAAATATACAAACTGACAGAATAGGTACTGACCAATAGCCTGCCATTGGGACCAGACGGGGAGGGGGGGAGAGTTCACTTTACTTGCTGCCCAGCGTTGTTCTCCTGAAGGGGCTCTAGTTCCTGTTTTTTGACGCATTGTTGAAATTAGTTCCCGTCCAGCTTATCCCTCCCCCTATCTAGGTCATTCTTGGAATTTGTTGTCGTCTTTACCATTTGTATATTCGTTTCTTTCACCTAGGTCCCCCTTCGACCATGGTAGGGTTTAGTTATGCATAAAATCTATGAAATTGGAACGTGGTGGTAGTGTTTACCTTCACCGTTCCTTTATCTTGCAAACAAATATCAGGAGTGTATGAAAATACATTTCCCTGGACGATTTACTTAGTGTTGGACATTCGATTATACAGTACCAGCAATTTTTTCGTTCCAGTACAATGATGGGCCCTTGTTAGTGAGTGAGGGAGAAGGAGAGATGTGCTTCGTTTTGAAAGTAGCATTCCACAATTTTCAGAAAAAACGTCCTCCATTTATCTTGGGTAAAAATTGGTACGCAAAACAGATAACACCGAAAGATGACAAAAGATACATAATGGCCAAAAACTGCAACTGTCGACATCGTGAAAAATCGTTAGTAATTCGCAAAAGTTAGGCCAGAGCTGGTTTCCTGGCGTCGTGTGCAGATGACTTCATTATTGTAGTTCAAATAAACAAAGAAGGCTAAAATTATTATATATTGAACAAAATAGGCCAACCGATGTGCTCTCGGGAAGCTAAATATTGCCGTATCCTAACCGAACTTCTAATCCAATACCCTAGTTTCGTCAATTACAGGCGGGCTGGGAAGGGCTATATAAACAATCCTTACTCATTTTATTGAAGAAAAAGGGGTGGTGGTCGTCTATGCTGCCTCCAGCAACAATACCTGTGGCTTTACACTGCATTCCAGAAACATTGGAGTTACGGTCAAGTTTCGATTCAAATTTAGTGTCGGGATTGGGACTCGCGAATATGGACTCTTCCTGGAATTTAGCGCAATACCAACTGTCTTAGGGCGAGAGAGGTTCCTGTTGCCTTGCCTGGGGCGGAAGGGGGGACACATCCGATTCCTACCGAAACAATCTTGGATAGCTTTGCAAAACTAATTACTGACCACTTCCCATTTCGACTATAACCACAGTGGAGCCGCGGGTGATGGATAGCTCCATCTATGAGCATTTCAGGTAACGAGCCAACCACTAGGAGAACATTTGTTTCACTTGACGAGCTTCCGCTCAGTGAACGAGTTGTCAGTATGTGTGTGCCTATGTGCGCCGTTGGTCTTGCTCCCAGGGCGTAGGCCCTCAATCGCCTGCAGTCAATCAGTAAGCTGATGCAGCTTAATTGGCTACCTTCTGCAAGACTAGCCTATTGCATGACGAGCTGGGTGCTGGAACAGATTAAACTCGTTAACAGAGGTTCCACAGTATTTCAAAGTCCCGACCCCATTGTCGGGTTTCACAACACGCAGTCACCTTCCAGTATGCCGAACAATCTTCCTTGATTTTATTACCCAGAAAATGAAGCCACCCATAGGTAGAAGGCGCGACGGCGGCCCGAACTGGCTGCTGTCTCAGTCCCCCCCGGATATTTTTCTCAGTCTACCTATCACTGCCCTTCTCTACTAACTTTACGTGTGTTTGCTTTGTTTACAGCAAGACGTGAATCTCAACCTTAGCGACTTCTTGGCGGAAGCGGCAATCATGAAGAACCTAAACCACAAGAATCTCGTTCGTCTCCTAGGTTAGTGCCTTCCTCTCCCCCTCTCCCATGCTCAATGGGCATACTGGTCCTGTGTTTGATCTCCTTAACGCTCAATGCCATTGTTATTCTGCGCTGACAAGACTTTGGCCGAACGTGGGCAGGATTCCGTCCTGACTTGTCTTTCCCGGCGTGGGCACGCGTCTCGGATTCCTACTCCTTAACCTCTTCCTTCTTCCACTCCTCCTTTCCTCTTCTTACTCCTATTCACAATGCTCCTCCTTCACCCCCTCCCCTTATTATTCCTGCCTCTCCTGCCTCTCCTCCTCATCTTCATCATCCGCACTACCATCCTGCCTTCTGCTCTTCGCCATCCTGCCGCGTTTAATGCAGCGTTATTACAACATTCTGACTGTTGCCCGCCATCCTTTTCATCAACCCGCGTCCTGCACACTCTTGGACCTCTTAACTGCTGTGCCGAGGAAGTGCATGAAGATGCCCAGCGCCGACTCTGTGAAGCCGTCCTACCAGCCATCTTCAAACGACCGAAGGATTATATTCCGCGCGCACAGGTAGGACGTATTGAGGGCAAAAACGAACCGACTTCCTATAGCCAACTAGAATATCCCGTCACAACAGTTGCTTTGTGGTCGCTTGGGAGGAACAAACAACTGTGTAATGGTCCCACTGCATGCATTCCGTGTCATGAATTCTGCAACAGCTAAGCTGCGCATGCATGAACGTCCTCATTGTCAATGTTTGGCGTTGGCGAGAGCGAAACTTTGCCCCTTGGTTGTACAACCACTTTGTAGAGTAAGGCAGGGGGCGGAATGATGCCAAAACTGACGATTTATACTAACTGTGAAACGATTACCTGTGTCCTAATCTTGTACTTGTTGCAGCTGCAATTATGACTGATCTAGCCGACCTCGATGATGTCCCGGACGGTACTTCTCCATGCGCGACGATCCGTGGCTGCAGACCTGGACAGTCAAATCCATTCTCTTTGTCAACACCGGAAACCGAATACCGAAGGTCCAAGAACCACTTCCATGAATTAAGGCAAAAGTTCGCATCCCATTCCATGTCCTGACGGACTGAGTGGAGCCAGGATTTGAGCTGCTCCCCACTTCGACGTTTCCAATTAGGCAACGGTTTCGGGTCAAGGGCGGTAACACCGAGCTCACGAGGTTAACGGCGAAGAATGTGTCCAAACCATCTCATTCGTATTTCTTGGATTGCCTGGGATATCCTTGCGACGTTGTCGCAGCGAGTACGGATAGTCTCGTCTGAGACGGAGTCGGTGCACTGTACTCGAAGGATGGTCCTCAAGCAGTAGTGGTCAAGTATCTGTAGGTTCCGTTCGTCTTCCACGCGTTTAGCCCAGCATTTGCATCCGTATAGAAGAACAGACCGCACAGATGCACGGTACACGCTGAACTTTTTGGTAATAAAAATATGGTGTCGGGTCCACAGGCACTTTCAAAGGCTAGAGAAATCTTGTCGAGTTGCGTCAATTCTGGAGACAATGTCATCCTTACTCTGTCCACTCGGCAGTACCGTTGCTCCGAGGTACTTAAAACTGTCTACTTCGAGTTGTCAGCCATTAATCTCGAGGGGTGCCTTCTCTTGGACAGTGATGCTGCATGAGAACACTTTGGTCTTCCCATCGTTTATAGACAAAGCGACCGATTTAGCGACCTGGTTTACATGTGACACCATAGACTGTAGGTCGCCAAAGCCTGACGCTAGTAAAGCCTTATCATCGGCATAGTCGAGATCTGTCAACTTGCGTCCGGGTGCAAGTTCAATACCGTCGTCTTTAGGTGTGGCCTTCGCGAGGATCCAGTCATAAGCGTAGTTAAATAGGATGGGTGACAGGACACAGCCTTGACGAACGCCAGGCTCAATAGCGAAGGATTCTAAAAGTTTATTATGGTCCAGGACCGGCGCGATGGTGGAGCGGTAGTATGCCCTAAGCATGGCAATTATTTTTTGTGGTACACCGTCCATTGTTATTATTCGCCAGAGGGATTCACGATGGACAGAATCGAACGCAGCGGCAAAGTAAACGTAGAAGACAGTCGCTGGTTGTTGATAGCTATGGCAGGATTCAAGGATCCCTCTCTGTATGAATATATGGTTCACGCCCAGCGTGAAATCCGGCTTGGTTGGGCCGCGTCCGAGAATTACGCACGGACTGGAATCGCCTGAGAAGAACAATAGCGAAGATCTTCGCAGCAACGTCGACGAGACTTATGTCGTGGTAGTTCTCGCATCTTGTCTTATCTCCCTTCCTGTAGACAGGAACAAGGATGCCAGAACCCCAGCCTTCAGGAACGGCTTCGTCTCTCCAAGATTTTCCAATCACCTCATGGAGCCAAGGCGCCAGATTGTCGAATCAAGACCTGTAGACTTCAGTGGGTATACCGTCCTCTCCAGGTGCCTTAATCTTGCGCAGCCTTTTTATGGCATCAGCGATTTCTCCTTCAGAAGACGGGTTGCATGGCACTGGATAGGTTAGAGAGGGAGGCGACTGCTGTAGAGGGAAGCAGGGGGGTGCTGGCTTCCATATAGAAGTTAAGGAAATGCTCGATATTCTCACGCCAGCGCTCGACCTTGGTCGCGTTTTCAGTAATATAACCGCCTTTCACATCATGAACTGAGTCACTCAGTGAAGAGCAGCCTACTACTAACCTGGCGAATAAGTTGGTAGAGTTTTCGACTATAACAAACGTTCGAGGCCTGCTCCATGGAGGTCGCTATTTCAGCCCAGTTTTGTTGTCAATCCTCTGGCCGATTCTGCCATCATTTGTCTTAGTTGGCGGAAAAAATAATCAATACGACCCCTGGCTCGAGCTGTCTCAGCAGACAACTGCAGGGTTCTCCCGCTGATTCAATCACTGCGACGCCGCTGGGTGTATCCAATAATTCTCTCGGCTGCCCCATAGACTGACGTTTTCAGTGGCTACTCTCTTTTCCGTCAGCTCGGTTCTTGAAACGGGAACGGATTTCTCTGCTCAGGGCCTCGGCAGTGTTGGGTTGCCGAATTTTGGCGACATCGAAGCGTCTAGTGTGTTGTATTTTGGACGCGGATGAGAGGTGAGTTTTCAAGCGCGTATGAACTAGAGCGTGTTCGGACCTATGG